GCCTTCCCTCATTGCCACCACTGTAGGCTCGGATAGCGGCCCTTTGCGACCACCTCCCTCAATGCCCGCACCACTACGCGGTACTTCCGGCTGCTCTCACGGATGTCCACTCTTTCACGGCCATCCCACTCTCGCTTGGAACCTCCGTGCTCCCCCTCTCAGTCATCAGCGGGTCGCGTCGCCCCGTCTCCTCACCATCATTGCCTTCCTCGCTAGCCCATTCGCGTATCAAGCATCTCGTCATTACGTTGTTCACGCGCAGTAAGTCCCTCGTGGTGTACACGTTACCGCGCAGTCACTCATATTGCATGTCCGCAGTCATTGCTCCCGCCTCGTTTTGATTGCCGTCAATCGGCTTCGTTACTGCTCCCTCCACGCAATCCCCGCGAGTGCCGCGCCTCGGTCAGGCAGCCCTGAGCCCTGCTGTCGCATTGAAACCGCGAGGCACCTCGAGGCTGAGTGGTTAAGAGAGGTCCGGGAGGTTCGTGTCCCTTTACTTTTTCTTTTCATCTCCTCATCTGTTCCATCTAGATGGTCACCAAACGGAAACGCCTTTCACGCCATGTCAAGACCGACGAAATCAACTCGGACGACGAGATGGTCTCTGAGAGGCTTGGGCAACAGGAGCTTTTACGTCGTCGGGAGGAGGCCCAGGCCCATTATCAAGCGAATATCATAGGTATGTCCACCTTATTATCTCATATGTCATGGTGTCTGATGAATAGTCCAGGTCTTTCTACCCAGTCCCTGCAAGCCCTTCACGACATGCGCGATGAGGATGTCGTGGATGACGGCGACGAGATGATGGACTATGAGGACCTCCGCGAGGGGTATTCATCGGATCTCCCCGCGACAGAAGATGACACATTCGTGCACGCTGTGCGCGACTACATGGATAACCCGTAAGTCTATGCCCTTTGCCATTTTATCATGCTTATTAATGTCCTGCAGTTGGACTGCTCGTCATGCCGTCGACTCGCGCACCTGGAAGGCCCGTCTGGACAACAAGCACAAGGACTGGGGGAGCCTGCTCCCCTCGTTGGTTGCTTCCTATCTACAATGGAAGAACATGGCCCCCACCACCCCTTCCCCTGCCGATGCTCCGCAGGCTACATGCTCTCCGGCTACCCCTCCTGTCGCCTCTTCTCCCGTTGCATCGCCCCACGCTACCCCTGCCGCTTCTTTCGCCATACCATCCGGCGCTTCCTTTCCCGCGGCTTCGGACCATTTACCCGGGGCTTCGGACTACAGCTTTACCATCTCCGTTCTCGACCTCTTCACACTCTCTAAGTCCATTGTGTGCACCCGCGAGGCGGACTCCGTCACGCCGCTTGACGCTCTCATCAAGCAGGGGTATCTGTCCGATGTTCCGCACCGTCCTTCTATGGCTGTCTCTCTTCGAACGCTTGAACACTTTCGTCTACTTCGCCTTCATAAACCTTCATTTAGTACTGAGGCTTTCACAAAGGTAGTATGTGATTCATATGGCGTACGTCTTTCTAGTTACATGTATAGGTATAATCACTTAGTCGGCATCATCAGATGCCTTATATTCGGACTTACCGGTCCCTCATCGCGGACGCTTTTGACGTGTACATCATGATTCTACGTAATGTCAACAAATCTATTGCTGATGTCCTTGGCCGCAACATTCCTAACTGGCGCGTACTGAATGCCTGTCCACCCTGCACATATCGTCTTGAGAATGAGCAACCCCTTCAATTCAATCGAATGTTTGTAATGGATGGCGGAAACTCGGCAAAGCGACTAGCGACCCCTGCTGGGAGGCAGCGCGGGGATATGCGGGAGTTCACTGACAGCGACTATCGGCTCTCGTGTGACTATGTGGATCAATTTGCAAATGAAACCCGGCGACGGCCCGTGCCTGAGGCTGACGCCAAGGATGTTGCGGAGCCAGCCTCCCCATCTCACGATCCGGGCGTCAACGAGGTGAATACAGGCGACTGCAGCAAAAATTGGAAGGCCGCCGCGAGCGACGACAAGAAAAGGATGTGGGGTATATTTGAGGAGACGGGAATATTCGTTGGTGCTTGCCGACACGGGCTCCTCCTGTGGTACACGGACATGGTGCGGAGTGGCGAGCTGTGAGTCCCCCGCTGCATCTTCTGATTGCCGAGAGCTGAAAAAGCTTTTTTTTCAGTGCGAAGTACCCACTTGCTCTTGTGTCCAAGATACTGGAACTGCTCGAACACCGTTGCCTCGGCGCCTACGACATCGGCTGCACGTTCAGTTCGACGATAGAGTCGAGTAGCCTTGGTGAAAGGTTCAAGGAGAGGGAGTGCCGGATGATCGTGGACGCGTTTCACGGGTACGCCCACGACTACAAATGTCAGGTTAACAACCACCCTCTCAGAATCACCGGCGCTGGGCTCGAGGACTTTGAGACAATCGAACGAATATTCAGTGCGTGCAATGCACTCGCCGCGGTGATACGCTACGCGAGCCCGTACCGCCGGCACATGTTCCTGGAGCTCTTCTTTCAACAATGGGACGAAGAGAAGTACCAGAACCTCGGTACTATGCTACTTAATAATTACAAACAAGCGCTCGCCATCATCGATGCTGAGTCCCTGAAGCTGGAGGAAACGAAGACGTCACTCGGCATCACGGATACCGACTTCAAGACTTGGCAAGCAGAAGAGCTCGCCTACTTCGAGACCCTCGGTAAGGAGCCTGCCTACGACGTGTACGCTGTTGCATACGTTGAGGCACTCAAGGACATGCGGCAGCTGGAGTAAGTCTGCATTTCTTCTGCACTATCATAGTCTATATATTGATGTCCCTCTTTTTCTGTCTAGGTATCAGTACGCGAACGCGTTCAACGCGTTTGTTGACGCTATCCCAGGTGATTATGTAGCTGCCAGCGCTGCAGGCATCAATACGTACGAGGCAAATGCGGGCACAACGCGGACACTCGAGTCCGACAGGAGCTTTGTGCGGGAACGTCTTGTTGTCGCCACCCGCGACGTTGTCACCCTCGAGCAGAAGATGGGATTGTCCCACCGGTGGGAGCCATCATCTCCGGAGTACCAACACGCTGAAGAATCTCTCAACACACGCGCATTCCATCGCGCCCTCGACGACTTGCAGCGTTTGGTCATCCAACGCCTGTTTGAGCTACAGAAGCTCAATATCTCGCAGACCGGTGAGCCTTTTCCCTTGGTGGACTCCGATCCACTAGTTTATCACATCATCACGCAGCCTACAAACTTCGCGTTCAAATCGCGAAGTCTCTTCAGACTCGCTCTCAGGCCATCAGGAACGCCATCACTCGCTACAACGCCGCCGCCGCCGCCATGAACCCCCCTCGACCACCTCTCGAATGGTCAAAGGTATCCCATTACGGGTTCCTTGACGAGTTCACCTTGCTACGCAACACCCGGCAAGATATCACCTCGAGGCCATGGTCGAAGCCTGTCCAGCGCGAGGCGATGCGAAGCGCGTTTCGTGTTCAGCGAGCTCAAGAGGAGATTGAGCGTTGTAATGTCGAGGTTCGTCGTCTTCACACTGCAATCATCGACGAGGAAACGCACTTTGCCTCCGTCGTTGCGAGGCTACGTGTCGAAGGCAGTGTCCTGTTGACGGTCACGGAGGACTTTTGCCTGAGGCGATCGCGTGTCAATCGCCGCCTTATGGATCGTATCACACAGATACATGAGCTTAGAGGGTTTTCGGGCGAGATGACGCCAGGTGTTCGCAATGGGACGGCAGACGTTCGTGAGACTACGTCTGGTACGGCTTCCTTTAGATTCTTTTCTGATGGGAATGGTTTCGTACATGAGGAGGATGAGTTTGATGAAGATCCCATGTCACGCGATGTTGCAGTCCTTGTTGATTACATGGCAGAACTGCCTCTGTCTGATACATAGTACAATATAATATAATTTTTTCATTTTATTTCTGACGGTCTGTATATGCGTGAAGCTCGACGAGTGCTTGAAGACGACGAGAAAGAGGAGTGTGTGCATAGGTGGGAATAGAAGTGACGATGAGCATCAAGAAGCATTGGACATGTGCTGGTGTACACGCGACAACACACTGATCCTGCAGATCGCTAACTGCACTAGTGCACATCTCGTGTCCTGCGCGCGGTCTTTGTCGACACTCCCCTTCCTCTCCTCTCCTCCCCTCCTCTTCCTCTCCTCTCCTCCCCTTCCGATCATTTCCGCCTGGCATCAATGCAAGACAGGTACTACGTGGCCGCTGGTGGAGGCGGCGCCGGAGTCTACGACAGCTAGTGAGATATACTTGCACCTTTCATTCTCACTGAACTCACTACCTTACCAGCCCTTCGCTGTCTAACTCGTCCCCACCTCTCCCCATCATTATCACTCTCGTCCGCTTGAAGGACGCTCAAACGCTTCACTCACTCTGCTCCGCCCTCCTCCAGGATATTGACTACACTATAATCAGCCGCCTTGAACTCGCAAACATCTTCTTCAACTCGAAGACTGCCAAGGACGCTCTCAAGCCTCAGGTGGAGTATTTCTATACAGCAATCGTTGGTCGTCGTGTTGGGATCTGGCAAGTCTGGTGAGCTCGTTCTCTGTACTCTGCGCCTGCTCTGACGTTGGTAGGAATGACTGCGACAGGGAGGTCAAGGGGTATCCAAGTGCCCGTCACAAGAAGTTTACCGCATTCAGTGATGCCATGGAATGGTTCATCACGAAGGGCCACGACTTCGGCTTCGCCACTAGGCTTTCGTCCAGCGATGCGTTCGGAACTCCTCACGTCCACCCGCTCGTTCTGCAGCCCTCCGAAGACAAGGGAAAGGGCAAGATGGCCGAGAACCCACCTACCTCCTCCTCCTCCCTGCTCGCCAGTCCCATCGTCATCGAGTCCCTTCAGATCAGAGGTGCGTAATATCCCCTTTATTTATTTGTGTCTTTCTAAACATCACCCCAGACAAAGGCCCACCTTCGCCGAAGAGGAGTCCCCCGCCTTCGTCTCGTCTTACTTTTGGCCTCCTTCAAGCTGCCTCCATCTCTCCTCATATCCAACCTGCATCGCCCACTCCTCCCGCTGCATCGACATCTCGCGCCCAACCCTTCAACCCGACTCGCACTCACAGCGCGTCCGCGGCCACTGCACCCAATATCGCTTGGAGGACATCAACGACTATCCCGCCTCACAGTTTGACCCCTATTTTCCAATACGTTCGCGAGCTAGATGGCATCCGTCAGTGCCTCGCCGGTCCTCTTGAAGCCGACGATACACCCGTCCCAAGCTTTGGGCCCATGGCGGACATCTACCTTCACTCGCAGGGCTTTTCGCTGAAAGCCATTCTGCATATTCGACACGCACTTGACGCCAGCTCTTCCCCTCACGATTTCGTCGGCATCCTTGCAAGCCGCGGGATGGCTGTGCTGGAGGCACGGTACCTGTGGGCCGTGATTCACAACGACGTAGACTCGTACTATAGATATTGCTAACGGACCCTGCAGTACTAAGCGGTCGCTTAGCAGGTTTGAATAAATTTCCGATTTTTCATTGCTATTCTCTTTCTCTTTGTCTGACTCTTTGCCCATGCTCGTCGTCACCGCCCCCCCACCACCACAGCTTGGTAAATATCCGGCAAAGTCACGTACCACCAAAGCCCGTCGGCCCTATCGCTGGCGCAGCAAGCCGACGTTCAAGACCACTCCGGCTCAAAGAAAAGCTCTCGCCATCCGTCGCAAGAGCTTTCGCCTCCAGTACCGAGACGCGCTGAAAGAATGTAGGTCAAAAATTAGAGACATGGCTAAAAAACTCCGAGAGCGTTTTGGCAAGCACAGCGAAGACCACTACTACCGAGAGATCCTTCAAGACTCTCGCCTTGTCCGACATGCACGCAAAATCTCTCGTTGGAACGTCTATCAACGGCAAGAAATGAAGCGCCTCAATTCTGGTAAGGTTTTCCTTCTACTCATTCTATTGACGACGTCTGACCTGCACATAAACAGAACAGATGCCTGGTCAGAAGCGGAAGAATGCTGGCGCTCTCGTTGCCGGCATCGCCCAAGCCTGGAAGGTGCTCACCCCCGAAGAGAAGGTCGCGTTCACGGACCCCCTCATGGCCGACATGCAGGAGAATCGCGATAACAAGGAGCTCGCAGCCCATAACGCCCCGCTGGCCGCGTTCCAGGATACCGACAAGACAACAAAAAGCATAGCATCAGAGGTGCGGCGTTCGCGCGCTTTTCTCGGCCTGAGCTAACTTCTGGCAGCTGCGTAAACTCCATGTCCGCACCGGCGACGAGGTCATCCTCATTGTTGCTCGCTCCAACGTCGACCACTACAACGAGGCCTATACCTTCACCACCCCTCGCGTCAAGGGCTTTGTTGACTCGTCACTCAATACATCCATTCAGAACTTGGCGACAAGATTCGAAGGATATTGCATTTCCGGTGTGAAAGGTATGTTCTCGACTCGTCTTTTCGGTTTATTGTCTCTATTCTTACTCGCCTTGTCAGGTCTTGCCCAGCATCAAGCCGATCTCACGCAGACAAAGAAGACGGAGCTCCACAACCTCATCTATAGAAAGCTTGGCAAGTGGTTGTATACTACACCCGAACTATTGATTGACCCTGTTCCGCAGTTGACGCAACGGCGCCGTGCAAGCCGCCTCGCATGTTCTACACAAACTTCGACATTCACATCACCGACAAATACCACACCCTCCTCGAAAACTGGCCAGCAGCTCGGTTTATCTCTCCATCTGATATGAACTCACACGAGCTCGACGTGGTGTTCAACGCCTTTGCGACAGGCCTGACATTTTTCCGACGGATGTCTGATGAAGAGTATCAGCAATGGGCCAAGCTCCGGGTAAGCCAAGCGGTTGATGACGTGCCTGAGAGCCCCACTGCGACATCATCGGCCTCACTCCCACCCTCCGAGGACCTCGGTTCCACTAACGCCAACATGAACACCGCGTGCCCTCCGGCTGCATCCTCCCCTGTGGACTGTGGTGGCCCGCAGTTCACTGGTGTTACACAGAATGGCGAGGCGATGGTCATCAAGAAGAAACAGCGTAAGCCGCGTGCTGACATTGGGAAGCCACGCGGCCCACAGAAGAACCCTCATAAGAAGAAGTCCACTACTAATGCCTCCGCAGTAGACACTGTCACTACTACTTAGATCCGTACTTACTCTGCACATTACTGCCTTACTACTGCCTTACTTACTCCGTGTTCTAGATGCCTACTCCAAATATATTGACGTATGATTCACATATTAACAGCTCGTGTGTGCGAATGACAGTGATCCGACTTCATAAATGACATGATTTGAACTTTGTACGTATAACAGAATGCAAGCGAAGTGTAAGCGATGAGAAAAATGGCGGCAACGAGGGGGTGGCAACAGTGACTAGCAATGACACAGGGAAGAAAGGCGGAACAAATGTTATTGAGTCTAGCCGAATGAGATGATGGGTACAGTAGTCTATTGAATTGAAGCAGCCGCGCCGTGGCAGCATCAGCAAGTAGAATACAACAGAAGGGAACAGAGACTTACAGGCTATTCTTTCAATCACGCACGGTGAGGGCGGGTCAGACAATACCCCTCACAAAGGTTGTCAGGGCCCATCATGTCATCAGCGTCGTCCACGGCGACCTCATCACACATCTTGTGAACTGCTTGCAGAGCTCAGGCATTAGGCGCGGTATATGAATAGCGGTGTGGTGCGCGTACCTGGGATATTCACTTGGCAACAGGCCTGGGCTTCCTCCTGACAACGGGCAAGTTCTTGCCGTGATCACCTCGTCATCCGAGGTGACTTCGTCGACCTTGACGCGGCGCGAGGGGCGTTTCCTGCGTTTCCTTTGCTCGCCATCTAGGAGGGAGAGATGGAGGGGTTAAAACAAATAATAAGTGGTATGAACCCCCTCACCTATGCTTAACAAGCCAACACCGAGGCGCGGCACTCGCGGGGATTGCGTGGAGGGAGCAGTAACGAAGCCGATTGACGGCAATCAAAACAAGGCGGGAGCAATGACTGCGGACATGCAATATGAGTGACTGCGCGGTAACGTGTACACCACGAGGGACTTACTGCGCGTGAACAACGTAATGACGAGATGCTTGATACGCGAATGGGCTAGCGAGGAAGGCAATGATGGTGAGGAGACGGGGCGACGCGACCCGCTGATGACTGAGAGGGGGAGCACGGAGGTTCCAAGCGAGAGTGGGATGGCCGTGAAAGAGTGGACATCCGTGAGAGCAGCCGGAAGTACCGCGTAGTGGTGCGGGCATTGAGGGAGGTGGTCGCGAAGGGCCGCTATCCGAGCCTACAGTGGTGGCAATGAGGGAAGGCGGGGAGAAAAGTCTTGAGTCCCGGGGACGTCGCTGAGCTGTGGAAGGGCGCCAGGGTCGTTTGTCCTTGAGAGCCGAGAGATGGGGGCGACAGGAGGACGAA